CTACTACTACTACTACCACCACTACTACTACTAGCTCTGCTACTACTACAAAAAATACTAATACTACTACTATTACTATTACTAGGATCGCCCAGTGAAACAAGTGAACAAAAACAACAATAAATACTACAAGCAGCTGGTAGTAGTAGTAGTAGTAAACACAGGGCTTGGCTATTGGATAGCGTTTAGCCTCTAGCTCATAACTAAATGGCTTAATTTCAGGTTGGCTTGTTTCAAGAGGCAGCCCTAGTTACAAAGTTTTTCGTTCGGTATTTTGAACATTACTTTGCAATATGGCAACACGAAAAATATGCATTGAAGATATTTATTTAGCTAATAAATAGAATAAATGTCCATAGTAAGTTTAATATGGAGTCAGAAATGGAGAATGAATTTCCTTTTACGATTTATTATTGAGTGAATAAGGCAATATTTTGTGAAGTGCTACACATGAGAAACACACAAACAAAAGTTTCCTTATTAATTTATTACCCAATCATAAATAGAAAGTTAAACTAGCAACAATGACCTCACTGATAATGAGAAGTCTGTGTCTAGTATTCGTAAACCACAGGAATACACTATTTCAAAACAATTGTCAATTACATTCAAATACTCGGTAAAAGAAGGTGAGTTTATTGTTATTTGGTTTGGGATGGACAACTAGACCGTGCTAATCAGTTCCTGATGTTACCTTGCTGTCAGCTTGCGAAAAATTAAGGTGCCCTACTAAATGAGTGGGGCATCAGAATAGTGCATAAAGGAAAACTAACACATTTTTCAGTCATATCCTCTTATCGAGAACCTTCGGACCCTCTTTCTGGTTTATGCCGTTGCCAAGTTTTGTACTTGCGTGGTAAGATCTAGGCGAGGGAGACCTGCCGACCCATTCAGAAGAGATTATGGGAACACTAAACCGCTTGTAGCGGTGTATGGGTCCGAAAATCTAGACTCGTCGGGCACATGGCGAATGCAGGACACTCAAAAACAAGTTTTGCCGTTTACTTAGACTTCACATGAAAACGTAAAATTAGGGAGTCTAGAACAGCCGGTATCCTGAATGTGAGAGACGAGTGTATGAAATTGAATAGGAACTATGTATGGCTGTTAGGTAGGCTTAAGAAGGAGAGGAAGAAAAAAGGAGAGCAGAAAGAACCATTAAACAAAATAATGAGACCTGATTAGCCTCGAGTTTGGCTAGAACTATGGCCCCTCTCAGGACATAAAAATTACACACACACACACATATACACACACACACAATAGCACATACATAAATGTGAGTCAACCACATCCACGGCTGCGGTCCAACACCTTTGCTCCTGGTTTTGTCAAATTTATTTAGGAAAGTATGGATTTCTGTTCTAATGATGTCAGTCACAGTGGTACAGACGGAAGCTTGGCACAGGTTGATCGGGGTCGCAATACGGTGAGCCGAAGACT